GAGGCAGGAGGATCGCTTGAGCCCAGGAGTTTGAGGTTGCTGTGAGCTAGGATGACGCCACGGCACTCTAGCCCGGGCAACACAGTGAGACTCTGGCTCAAAAAAAAAAAAAAAAAAAAAAGGTCTCTTGCCTCCAGGCTTTCACTTATGCTGTTCCCTCTCCTGGAACACCTCTCACCCTATGAAATTCCCACGGCAGCTAGTACTTCCCTGATCTAGCACCACCCTCTGTTCCAGTGGTTCAAACCTGATGACACATTTGAACCTCCTAGAGAGCTTTACATTACATTGATACTTAGGCTCCTCTCCAGACCAACTGAAACTGCACACTGGCAGTTTTTTAAAACTTCCAGATGATTCTGATCCGCAGTCAGGGTTGAAAGCCACTGTTCTAGTACAACTTATGCCTATATCCCAATGAAGACAGGGACAAAAACCCTGGGGTGTCTATGTCAAGTGCCTGGTACAGAGTGGGTGATGAGTAGATGATCTGTTGTAGGATGGCTGTGTGGCTGGGGTTGTATGAGATAGAATACAATAACACTGCAGGAACCTGCATGTGTGTGCATGTGTGGAATGCCACCACTGAGCAGCTGAAACTTGCGTATGTGACACTGTGGGATGTCACAGCTGGACAGCGGTTGTGTACAGTGTGAGGATCACTGTGACGGTGTTAACAAACCCACAAGGGGGTGCAATATTCCCTGCTGCACAGAAAGTCAATTGAGATGACGAGGATTGTTAAGGAGGAAAGTATTTACTGTAGAAGACACGTCAACTGGAAGGGTGAGGTTATGAACTGTCTTAAATTTCCCTCCGGGACCAACAGAGTCAGGGAGTTTTTATGGAAGCAAAATGAATAATGCATGAGGGGAGTGAGCATCATTGTGTGTTTGGGGTGGCATGCAAGCGCAGGGAGAAATGTTAGTACATATGTCTCATGATGAAAAAATGGCAGATAAGTTCCTCCCAGGGTGGGGATTTTAGCATTATAATGAGCTGGGGGTTAATATTGGTCCATCTTTCAGCCTTGTGCGCAGGCTCAGTGGGTGTTTGGGCGCGGTCTGTGGTGGCATGCCGCTTATCTTGTCTTTTCCGGACACACCGGTGGTGTAAGGCTTTGCAGGTGGTTTTGCCCTTCCTGGGAAAGAAACTCAAAAGAGAATACATTCGTGGAGCCGGTTATAAATGGGTGAACACTGTGTGAGACCGCAGGGTGTCACGCCAGTGGCTGTGACCTGAGTGTGAGGGTCACTGTAAATGGCTGTAGTCTGTGTGACACAGCAGAATATCACCACAGGAGTGGCTGTGTCCAGTGACTGACTGCGAGTGGCTGGGGACTCTGGCCAGGCTGCTTGGCTCGGCCGTCGCCGGGGAGCGTCCGAGGAAGTCCAGGAGCTGGAGATGCCCCGCACCAAGATGGCAGCTGTGGGGGAGGTCGCTGGCCTGGGGCGGCAACGCGGGTCACCGCGGAGGGGAAGCAGGACGGGGAGGGCGGGAGGCCGAGTGCAGGTCGCTTAGGTCAGACCTGCGCCGGCCAGGGCGCAGCCTCGCGGTGTCCTTGCGTCGCCCGTCGCCTCCTGCCGCGGACGCTGGGCGGAGGAGCGGGGGGCGGAGGCGGGACCCGCTCAGGCCGCCCAATGGCATGTAACGGGCGGGGCCCGGCGCTCACCTGCCGGCGGACTAGTTCAAGTCGGCGAACCGGAGCCAGGGGAGAGCCCGGGACCCGGAATCCCACGAAGACAAGATGCTGAGCTCCTCCCTGACCCCTCAGAATGGCACCTGGGCAGAGACCTTCACTCTGCTCTTGGCTCTTGCCGTTGCCCTGTACTTGGGCTACTACTGGACATGTGTGTCCCAGGTGGGTGCGGGTCCAGCGCTCTGGCAGGCGGGGTTGGGCTACTCGGGTGTAGGGGGCAGCTTCCAGCCCCGGGGTTGAGCCTTTTGTGGGAGTTGGGATGGCTAGGTCTCCCGCCCCAGGTGAAATCTGCTATTATCACCTAATGGAGAGGCGTTTCCTTGCCTCCCTGGATCCTCTGCATCCAGCGTGCTCCCCATGCCAGCCGGGTGCTGCTCCCTATAATGTAGACAAACATTTGGGGAAAGGCAGTGTGGAAGGCATCCCCAGGCTTTCCATATGCAGTGTAATGAGAAAGTCTAGTACGATGAGAAAGTCTAAAGAGGTTGATTTTGATGAACTTAGAGATTTTCTCAGTGAAATTTAGATAAAACACATAATTTACATATCCAGAAAAGGCTAAATCTTTTAATCTTCATTAAACTCTGTTCTAGGTAGCTGAGTCTAAGAAACCTATTAAGTCCTTTAGAAAGATCTTTAGAAGATTTTAGTGTTACCTAGACTTTTCTATATTTTCAGAGATTTCTACATTAGCATGTATTGTTTATAAAACAAGTCTTCCTTAATAAAATAATTTAAAAATCCAAACCGCACAATACTCTGCAAGCCTCACCTTACACAGATTTTCAAAGTGAGTTATTTCAGACCAGAACTGTCCTCAACTAAACATTTTCCGTTACTTGCGACCAGCTACAAAGAAATTTGGGCCCCTGTCACTTTATACTCCAAACCCTTTTTTGTCTTCCAAGTAGTGGTTAAAATGCATGGAAAGTACCATTCTGGAGGCTCTGGGGACATACAGTTTGGGCTGTCCAGGATGGTAATGGATTGCTATTGATTTATTAATAGCAACCAATGGCATATTACTAAATAGTTCTCAGGAGTTAAGAAATACTTCACTGGAGTTAAGATGAAACCAACCTACATAAATCGAACCTATGAACTAATTTACTAGTTTTGTTCTATACTACTGAGCTGTCTGACCAATGATTTAATACACTGATAGCAACTCAAAATCTTGGCAATTAGGCAATGTAGTGCAGTGACTAAACTGCACAGGCTCTACAGCCAGACAGACCTGGGTTTGAATCTCCATCTTGGCCACTAGCTAGCTTTGGCAAGCTTTGTGACCTTTGACATGTTTTTCAACACTCAAACCTGTTCACACAGTGCTTAGCACAATGCCTGGAACATGATGAGCACTCAACAAATTTTACCTACAAGTATTATTAGTAATATAATTAATTCTGCCTTGCCTCTTGCTTGCTGGGTGACTTTGGACAAACCACTTAACCTCTGTAAGTTATAATTTCTTCACTTATAATGTATCTGATAAGGTTGGGCTTAGCCCAGTGCCTGAATATAGCACACAATGATTCATAGCCGGCATTATTCCAGGGCATAAGAACCAAAGTCCAAGTCACATTTTCCAATAGTCACACTATCAACTTGGCCTCTCTGGTTTATCATTTGTCCAGCCCCTTCTGACTACCAAGGACTGTAGAGGAGATAGAAATCTGTCCTCAAGTTCCCTAGGGCCTCCTACAGAAAGGCAATTTCTATTCTTAAGCCTGCAGGCATACTCTTCCTTCATAAGCCTTCTATGTGGCTAGGGGCCTAGGCCCTCTCATTCACTTGATGTCTATCCAGAAGAACCAGAGAAGCTGAAAGTCAGGGCTCAGTGTCCACTGACCTCATCTGTCCCTGTTATTCTATCCCTGATGGCATGAAGGAAGAAAAAAAAAAATCTGTTCACATTAGGATTATTCCTCCCTTAGAGCATGGTCTAACAGTAGGGGCCCCATAAGTAAGAGAAAATGAGGTACCCTGGTAGAAAGAAGCCCTTTGGCGGTGAGCAACCACATTAAGGAACAATAGGAATGTGCACATGAGAAGGTGCTAAAATCAGGAGGAGGAAGAATGTCCAAAGCCAGTCCCAGGAAGATGACTGTGGCTAATTCAGCTGCAAAGCGAAAGTCACATATTGAACAGTGCTGCATTTCCTCAGGCCCTGCCCAGAACCACCACACTTCCTACAGGGGATCAGCTGGGCACTGTTTATATTACCCACTCTCTCCCAAATGGGTTTGGGGCATGGAAAGGCTGAGCGGGGGAGTCAGCACCCAGTCGGCTGCAGCAGCTCCAGATCAGGATCAATTCAGGAGGTGACACTCTAGAACTGGGGTTCTTTGGGGCTCCAGCTGAGCTGTATTATCACCGGTGACTTGGCCATCACAGACTGAACTGTGCTGGATCTCTCAACCCAGGCAAAGCAGGCTGGCCTCTAGAGAGGCACTCACTCACCCTCTGGAACTGGGTGCCTCCCTAGCTTGGTGCACACATCAGGGGAGTGAAGCAGGTTGTGTTATGTGCTTACAGAGGCCTCGACTGGTGGCTGGGCCCCAGTTTCTGGCCTTCCTGGAGCAACACTGTTCAGTCACCGTGGAGACTTTCTACCCTACACCATGGTGTTTTGAGGCACGGCTACAAAGCATCTTCCGAGTCTTCCTGCAGTCCCAGCCCCTAGTCCCTTACTGGAGGTAAGAAGGGTCAGAGCGGGGTGAACAAGCTGCAAGTTTCTAGGGGAAACCTATCTGTTTCTTTTAAAATGAAGGCAATCTTTGCCCCATCCACCTCCATGTGTTGAGGGTACAGTGACAGTGGACTTATGGAAGGGCTGTATAATTGCACAACCATGAGGTAATATTCAGTCTTTTATGTCCCCATTCCACCTTGGTCAAGCCTTACTGTTTTACATGAAACATGCCCTTCACTGATGCTGATGGAAGTGACAGGACTTGTTTGTGGGTGAGACAGGAGGTAAACCTTTTTGAGATACATCAAATTCCTAATAGTATCTTTGTGTCTCCCTCTTCAAAACCAGTGAAGTCCTCCAAACACCAGATGGGGGCCAGGTCCTACTAGACTGGGCTGAACAGCCTGACAGCAGTCAATACCCTGACCCTACCACTCAGCCCATTGTGTTGCTGCTTCCTGGCATCACCGGCAGTAGCCAGGAGTCATACATCTTGAACCTAGTTAGCCAAGCTTTGAGGGACGGCTATAGGTAAGGATGGGCAGTTGGGTGGTATCTGAAAACTTATAAAAGGGAGAAGTGAACTCAGACCCTGACAGATATGAAGAGTGCTATATAAAGGGAGTCCTTGGACAGGGGTCTTTCTGAAGACCACCAAAAGGGATGAGGGGCTTCTAAGCAGCGTCTAGCTAAGACATACCTGTGTGTGCCACAGGGCTGTCGTGTTTAATAACCGGGGCTGCCGAGGCGAAGAACTGCTGGTGAGTAGCCGCCTTGCTTGTAGCAGCCCTTCACTCACACCGTTTAGAGACCCTTGTCCCTGGGGCTCTACCTGCTACCTGTCCTCCCATTTTTCCTCTAGGTCCCGGGCCCTTCCATTGTTCTACACTCTGGCCAGGGCCTCCTCCCCTCCCCAGTGATCTCGTTTGCCCTCAGACCCACAGGGCCTATTGTGCCAGCAATACGGAAGATCTAGAGACAGTTGTGAACCACATAAAGAACCGCTACTCCCAAGCTCCACTGCTGGCTGTGGGCATCTCTTTTGGAGGGTAAATGTTGCCTGGGCTTAACCCTGAGACTCAGTCTTCCTTCTCCACATCCTCTCCCTCTCCTCCTCTGACCTGACTCACATTAATGCAAACCCTTCCTTCATGGTCCTTCATCCATTCCTGTAGGATACTGGTGCTGAACCACCTGGCCCAGACCGGGAAGGCTGCAGGGTTGGTGGCAGCACTGACTCTGTCTGCATGCTGGGATTCCTTTGAGACCACTCACTCCCTGGAGACCCCACTCAACTCACTGCTCTTCAATCAGCCCCTCACTGCTGGGCTCTGCCGACTTGTGGACCGGTAGGGTCTTGGGAGGTGGGAGAGGGTCAGATGGCAGACACACCAGGCTCTCCCAGTGCTGTCAGTTCTCTATCTGGGCTTCCTCACACGTGAGCTAATAAGATAGAGGCTGGGGCTTTGGGTCAGGTCCAGAGTCAAGCCAAACCCCATGTACTCTTGCAGAAATAGAAAGGTGATTGAAAAGGTGGTGGATGTAGACTTTGTACTACAGGTATACTTTCAACCATCCCCCCTACCCCACAAATTAGCCTCCCGCCATCTTCCTATTCTCTGTCATCTTAGCCTATTGTGCCTCCACCACCCGCAGGCCCGCACAATCCGCCAGATTGATGAGCGCTACACATCTGTGGCCTTTGGATATCAGGACTGTGTTGCCTACTACCAAGCAGCGAGCCCAAGAACCAAGGTAGATGCCATCCAGATCCCTGTGCTCTGCCTCAATGCAGCAGATGACCCATTCTCCCCAGCCCATGGTGAGCATTCAATCATGACATTTGGCCCCAGGGAAAATGGGCCATGAGGTACATGTGGAGAGAGCCTGGGCTCTTAGTAAAGGCCAGGGTTCCTGACCTTCTCTCTGACCCTCTCCCAGCCCTCCCCGTACAGGCTGCCCACCACTCTCCCCACGTTGCACTGCTCATAACAGCACGGGGTGGCCACATCGGCTTCCTGGAAGGGCTGCTCCCGTGGCAGCACTGCTACATGAGCCGCCTCTTGCATCAGTATGCCAGAGCCATCTTCCAGCACCGAGCGGAGCTGCTTGACCTCAAGGCTCTCTCACCTTCTGAGGACAGAAACAGCTGACAAGAGTACCGTTTGGGGTCTCAGTTCAGTCTTCCCTTGTTTATTAAATATCAACTTTTCCTGTCTAATGGGCTGAGGTTCGTTTTCCCTTTCTTCAAGGCAGGGGTAGACTATCCAGAAACTTACTGCATATTTAGCCTGGTTAGCTTGACACCACCCACCTGAACCCACAGATTATTGTTCAAGTCTTCTTTTTGCCCCTTCTTGCCCTAATAGCAAGTACCAAGCTGGTCCTTGCCCCAGCAAATGCCAGGGGCTTCATATGAAAAACAGCTGGCCACATGGCTATGAGGGGAGGAAGAGAAACCGTTTCTATAGGAAGGACAACAGAGCCTGCAGGCTCCTGGGCATCTTCACATGTTTCTAGAGAAAGGACAAGCTCAACTCTGGAGCCTCCGATAGGCAGAGGGAAGGAGGCAGGAATTGTGGCCTGGGATTCGGACACCACTGTGCCGGGTGGATCCACAGATGATGAATGCATGGTTCCCAACACCCAGAGTCACGCAGGGCCACAGCCAAGCTTTAAATGGGAAGGCGGGGCAGTGCCCATCCATCTCATCAGAGGCAACCTCAGCTCTGGACCCAGATGGAGTGAGCAATGGGGGTCCAGGCCTCCACTCTGCTCTAGAGGGTGGCAGTGTCCAGGCCCCTGATTCCCAGGGAACAGGGAGGCTAAAGAAAACCTGGAAAGGCACTCTGGAGCAGCAGGATGGTCACAACAATAAGCCCAACACACAGCAGGAGTAGCAGCCACACAGGAACACTCCCTGCAGGAGAGGTAAGGGAAGAAGTCAGCAGGCAGAGAGGCAGGACCAAGACCCTCCACCTATTCCATTCAAGGAGGTAGTGCATGGCTACAACCAAGCAGCCCAATCTCCAGGGGGAAAGTTTTCACTCTAGCTAAAGGTGGGGTGATACCCCCCTCCAATGACTCACGCCGTGACGGCAGCAGGTGCAGCTGGCATCGACTATCCACAGCTACAGAGAACAGGGCAGTTTCATGGGACCCAAGGAGCTCTGGACCACGACCCTTCTCAGGTAGAAAGGCCACATCTGTAACTACAATGCCATGGGCCTCCCTCACATAGTAGAGGCACTAGGGCAGAAAGAAAACCAGTGATGAAAGGCCTAGTTGGGAACCCTTCTGGAAAATATGCTCCCCACCCCCACCTCTACAAAGTGGGCCAGACTCCTCCTTGCACACTTGGGCTAGAGACAGGCCTACAGTCCTCCCACAGGGCTCTGCCAACCTCTGCCCATTACCTGGAGAGAGAAAGCTATGTAGATGGCAACAGAGCCAGTGACCGTGCCCAGGCCTAGGAAGGTGCCCGATTCACTGCAACAAACAATAAAGTGCTCGTTGTTCTGGAGGCTTGTGCAGTAACTCTCACTCACCAATATCAGTCCTCAGGCAGGACTCCTTTCCAAGCTCCCCCAGGAACCCGCTATCCAGCCAAGCCAGCATTGTCTCACACCTGACGTTGAGGCAGGAGATGACTTCATGACCACAGGGCTTGGTCCGAAGGGGCAAGAAGGTGGAGCCATCCCAGGCTGTGAGGTAGCACGGTGGGGGCTGGCGCAGGCGCTTGTGGGGAATCTGCACTGTGAAGAGTCGTAGCCCAGCAGGCTGGTCTGGAACCCGCCCAAACCTGGGGGCCAGATGAGGGGCTGTTCAGCTCCTGGGGCCTGCCCAACCCTCCTCAGAGGTTTGTGCCCCCTGCACCCTGGTCAGGCCTGGGGTAACGCCCAAAAAGGCCACAATCCTCCCCAGCTCCCCCCTACTGCAGCTGGGCTGTGCCTCTTCAGCCACCCGCCAGGGTCTTCACACCTGCAGGCCTGGTAGCGGTAAGGAGTGTTAGAAAAGGTGGGTCCATTCTCTTGCCAGTGCAGCTGTACCACTAGCTGATCCTTCTGCCACACACAGGCCTTAAGGTCCCGGCCCACAGTTACCAACTGGTCAGGAATAAAGATTCCAAGGATGGACTGTTAGGGGATCTACTTACTGGGGAAGCAGCATCACCACCCACTTTCTCCTTGCTCCACCTCACCTTGCCATCAGGCCCCAAAGCCAGGTCTTCGATCTCCCCTTCGTGGGCTTTGAACTCCAGAACTTTCTCCAGACTGGGTACCTACAACCAACGCACCACCACAGTTAGCCCAGGTCCATGGTAAGAGCACTAAGATCCCCACCTTTCTTCTCTTCTAACAGCCACTCAGTGCAAGCTTCACTCACAAGTTTCCCAGCACTCACGTTCAGTTTCTCACAATTTTGGTCTTGCTGCTACTGACTCTTATCCTCCCTAATCCCCCAAAATCACACCTTCCAGACACGAACGTGGCCATCCGTCCCTCCAGTGGCAAGCAGGGTATTATCGTGGTTGAAGCGCACAACTTTCTGCAGTAGATCAGGGCCGAAGTCTGTCTGTACCGCCTGCAAATTCTCTACCCTGAGTTCTACCCCCTCACGCTGGGTTTCAGCTCCCGATTTCTTCTCTGCTGCAGCTGCCCCCTTCCTTTGTCGAGGCCCCTGCTCCTTTGAGCCTGTAAGACAAACAGCTTGCCAGGTTCCAGGCTTCTACATACTACTTTTAGTCTGCTACCACATCCCCACTTCCAGCCCTACTTCTATAGACAGACCAAGATGACAGTGACCTTACTCATTTAACCCTTTTCCCAAAGGACCAGAGGCAGCTCCTCACCTGTCTTCTCTGCCTTGTTGTTACCCTTCTGCTGATGGACCTGGAAGCGCAGGAGCTGACACTGGGCATCCTGCCCTGCAGCAAGGATGTCACCAGCCAGGGCCAAGTTCATGGTGGCCCGAGTCTCTGTGTCATGCGAGTGCAGTAAGGAGGCACTCAGGCGCCCATTAATCTGCTCTAGCTGCAGAAAGTGCTGTGGTAGAGGGAACGAGGAAGAGTAAGGTTCAGGGCTGCCCAGAGAGCACGTCAAGGGAAACTTTCATCCCATAATCTGATGCCTTATCTCTCTGTTTACTGCACTTTCTAGTTCACAAGGCGTTGTCCAGTCTTTTTTCTCTTATTTGGGCCTCGCGAATCTGTACAGCAGGCAGGACTGGGATTATTACCTTCATTTTACAGAACAACAGAGCGAGGCTCAGAAGAGTAAAGGAACCTAGCCTGAAGACTAAATGCATCACTCTTGCTGCTGCTAGGGGGCAGACAAGGCTATGCGGCTTCCCAGGAGAAGGCCAGGATGAGACCGCTGGAACTCATGTGTTCCCGCCAGAGCTATGCAGCTCTGTATACAAGTTTTCACTATACCTGAAAAGTCCCTCAACCGCCCGCTAAATTCTTGGCTGAAATCCGCGCCTGGGCGCTGGGAATGTCGGGTTTTCCCACCGGAAGTGGGCAAAGCCCGAATCTGGGGTGCTGCCCCGGCCACCCTGGAATCGCCCTCAGCCCGCGCCGTGAGCCAGCCCCCGTGGCTCTGTGCTCTCACCACGCCATTCTTTATGCCTGTCTTGGCGGCACCTCCTCCGCCTGCGGCGATAAGCAGCCCTGCGCTGGGGTCGACCTGAAGCGCGTACAACGGGAACGGAGCCCGGTACAGCTCTGGAGCCCGGCGCCGGCCCATCCCGCCCGCCGCGCGTTCACTGCCCGCTCCGTGGCACCCAGGACATGCCGCGCCCGGCCTTCTACTACTGCCCCGGCAACTGTTGAACTTGATCCCGTCGCCGCCGGGAGCACTCCCGACTCCTCTCACACCCGCGGGATTGCCAAAAGCTCAAAGCACCCGCAGGCAGCTGTATCATCGCCCGGGTCCGTCTAGTCCGACGCGCAGACACGCAGTGCGCACGCGCACCTGTCTCGCGGCCCGCTTCGCGCAAGCGCAGAACCGCTGACACGCGTCAGCACTAGCGGCCGCGGGCCCCGGAACCCCGCGGCTGGGATGCGGTTCTCCGCCCCGCCCCGTAGGGCTCCGCCATCTTTGTGCGGGGCATGGGAGGCGGCGGAGGTAGAGCTGACAGAGGTTGATAAAGGTCAATAAGCCTTTAATAAGGAAATCCTCGAATTAGGACTGGCCCTACTTCAGGTGTGATAGGCCGACTCATACAAGCGCAGCCTTTACTTTTACCCCAGAGAGGAAGTGATTTGTCCAAGGGCACACACCAGAAGTCTCTTGCCTCTTAACGGAGGAAGAATGTACTTGAAAAGAGACCCGGCTTAAAATCCCCGATCCACCGCTTCCTAGTATGGGGAAACCACTATCAACGTTAACAAAACACTTATGCTTCACGGTTGGCAGAGGTGGCAGTCGGCCATTCCCTTTCTTGCGGGAGGATTGTAGGTAGGGGCTGCTCCCCACTGCCGGGCTCAGATGGAGGCAATTTGGTTCCTGGATAGGTGTCCTCTGTGCCTGACATCCCATCCCACCCTCCTCAGCGGGCCTTCAGGTTTCTGATCTGTGTGAGGACCTCGGTAATCCCCTGCGAGTGGGCACTAGGGATGCCCTTCCTTGCAAGGAGACACCCGCTGCTGCATCCTCCTTAACCTGAGGTGCACCCAGAGGAAAGGGCCCAGTGGTTTCATCTTTGCAGATACCAGTATCTATCCCACAGAGTTGAATTAAATGAGTGAAGGTTGTGGGGGCAGGGTAGTGGACGGGGCGCTGCCTCGCTGGGTCAGCCCCCGCCCCCAAATTAAAAAAAAAAAAGTAAATAGTGAAGGGCCCGGCTGAGCCCTCTTTGCATCTCAAGTACTCAGGACTTGCGAGTGCTTTGTCCTCGTTGGATACATGGCACCTGCTGTCCCTGGCCTTTCTGCTTCCTCTGGCACACACCCCCAGGGGCCTTTCTGGGGACTGGCCCCCCATTCTGTGTGCTCAGCAGGACACGAACACAAGTTTCACCAGGTCAGGCTTTATTGGATACACCGAAGGCCCTTCAGCCGGGAGAGAGAAGACTCCACAAGGGGCTCCCGGGGTTCAGGGCAGGAGAGCACACCTGACCTCCAGTCAGCCAGCCCTTCAGGGTGTCTCGGGGGCTCCCGGAGATCTGGAGCTTGATGGGGAGAGCGGGGTTTGGAGGAGGTGCTCCAGGGAGCCTCCGTGGCTCTGGAACTAGGATGGCGACTTTCGGAGAATGAGCTCTGGAGAGGTAGGCCTCTTTGGGGCAGGGGAAGGTCTGCGCTTCTGAGAGGCAGTGGCCTGTTTTGGTGCCTGAAGTGGAAGCCTGGAACATCTGGTGGAATTTGGTGATTGAGGACCTGCAGACCGGAGGCTCCCGGTCTGGGAGGGTGTGCCTGGGGTTGGATCTCCCCGGGCCCGAGCCACTGGATCTCGAGCTGCTGGAGCCCGAGATGTCCTCGATCGATACCCATGGGCCCGAGCAGCCTCCCCCTGAGGCCCTGCTTCCTCTGGCCTTCTTTCTGGCAACAGATGCAAGGCCCTGGCCTGGCCCCGAGGCAGGCAAAGGCCGAAGCCAATGCCTATGCGGAGTGGCCTGGATTCCTGGCCCTGCCCACAGGGCAGTAGTTGGGGGAAGGCAAGCAGCCGGGGTCCAGTCTTGTACCTGGGGATGGGGCAAGAGGGGCTGCGGGGCTGGAGGCACACCAGGCATACAGGATACTCCACGAACGGGGCCTGGCCGGTTGTGCCTAGCCACAGGCGCTGCAAAAGCAGTAGCCGCAGGTCGTGTGCGATTCGGCGGTGCCCCACATGGGCCACCAGGGCCTGGGCCAGGGCCCCCGGGTCCCTGAACTCCGCAGGGTCCCTCTCGCTTGCCACGCACCCTCCCAACACCCCAGGGGACCCGGTGTCCCTGTACTGATGCCAGTGCCATGTCTGGCTGTTAGAGTGGACTCTATGAGAAGGAAGGCTGGGGCTTGGAGAAGTGAGCGTGGAGCTAGGTAGGTCTTCGGGGTGGGAGGGGGACTGGCAAGGTGAGTAGGGGAGGGGGGAGTTCTGAGGGTGAGAGGGAGAAGAGGAGATGGTGAGAGGAGGAGAGGGGTGACGCTGGTGGTGGTGTTGCTGGTGGTGTTTGGAGGGAGAGGAGGAACGTTGAAGGGAGTGAGAGAGGAAGTTCTGGTGACAGAAAGTGTTGGAACTTGGGAAAGAGGAAAAATAGGGATGTGTAGCAAAGTCAGAATTTGAATCAGACAAGTATAATTGGAAGCCCGGAGAGCAGGACCATGGAGGAGGGGAGAAGGGGAGATGGGATCGAGGGGAAGAGGAGAAAGGTACGCAGGAGGGAGGAGGCAGTTGCTGGGGAAAGAGAGGCTGTAGGTTGGGGGAAGAGGAGTCCACAAGTTGTGAGAGGCCCTGAGGGGGACGCCCAGGGGGCACTGCGTTCTGTAGCAGCACCTGGTCCTTGTTTCGAGGCAACATTGCCTTGAATCCAGAAGAGACGGGGGTGAAAAGACCAGGGTTCAGGACCTAGCAGAGTCAGCACCAGTATGTCTGAGGCCAGCTGCGTCTGAGTAATCAAGGCCACTTCTGTGCACAGTGCGGCTCCAGCCTGGTGTTGGTGGCAGGCCAAGGAGACACCCAGCCCTCTAGCTCCAGGCTGTCTGGGTGCTCAGGCAGGAGCGTGGGCCTAAGCTTGGCTTCTCACTTCTTCGCAGTTAGCCATCGAGGAGCAACGTGTGGGGATGGAGAATCAGAGCTGCCTCCTGGGAGCTGAGGGGCAGCCACGATTATCTGGGTGGGGCAGGGAGGGAGACAGAACCCATGGGACCTGTCGAGAAAAGAGAGAGCCCAAATATTGGGAGAATCGTTCCATTTCCGGTTCTGCCTCATGCACCCAGTTCCAGGCTGAACTCATCAAGAACCTAAATCCATGTCTCCTATGGGGTCAGAAGAGTTGTCAAAATGCTCCAGGGAAGGTGAGAAGTGGGGAGGAGAGGAATGGGGGGTAGGATGGAGTTGGGGAGGGGTGTGGGGCATGAGGGCTGAGATGGGAACAGGAATTGAGGGTGTTGTGGTGCTGGGACCTCTTACCAACGAGGACTCCTCTGGGCTGTTTTCACAGGCACTTTGGTGAAGAGGGGACCTGGAGAGAGAGAGGAGCAGAGTCACCAAACGGTGAACACACCTCACTCTGCCCCAAGCGTCTGTCACCCTAAACTCGCTCTGACCCAGATCTCTGTCTGAGCCTGGCCCTCAGTCCTCCTTCAGCCAGGCGAAGGTCTTCTCTGGTACAGGTTTTTGTCCTCCTAATCCTGACTCAGGGATTCTGCGAACATCCTGGTTTCCTGCCACTCTGGTCCCTCTGACCCCTTATCACCCCTAATGCTAACGTCCTCTAGCTCAGCCTGGCCCTGACCGAGATGACTTATCACACCCAGCAGCAGCAGAAGTGGGGCCAGCTGGTAAAAGCCTCTGGAAGACTGGGGCTTTGTCTAAGGGGCGGCGACCCTTGCGCCGCCCCCAGTGGGAGCTGAGGGCCCCATTCCCTGAGTGCACTTCTCTCTGGCATCCAGTGAGTGCCTGTGTCACAAAGGGCAGATGCTGACATCATAGAATCTCCTCAAGGCTCTGGGACCTTCTTTCAAAGATCATCCAAAGGCTGACCTGTGACAAAACTGAAGCAGACAAAATTCTGTAGTGCACTCAGTTTCCCCTTCAGGCCCTGGCACCGCCTCTACTCTCTGCCCATGTATTTCACAGGTCCTACCACCTCTTCCCTCGGTTGTTCCCCAAGCCTGTCTGGGCTGAGCTCATGCTCCATACCGTTTTCTCCCTGGAATATACTTATTTTATGTTTTAATAACTATTTTCTTAA